CGGCCCCGGCACGAAGGACGCCGCGCGGCCGGCAGCCGGAGCACCGCTCGGCTCAGACCCCAGTGCGAGCAGGCGGGCCGCGCGTTTGGTAGAGTCCGGCACCGACCCCTCGGCTCGACTGTTCCTTCGCGCGTCCCCTCCTCCCTTTCTGGCTCCCCCCGTGCGCGCCCGCGCAATGGTACGAGCCTGCGCTGCCGGAACTGTCGGAGCCGTTACCCTGGAAACCGAGTTCTTCCTAGTCTGGTCGCCCCTGAGGTTTAACCCTGTAGGCGCCATCGGAGAGCAGCTGTCAGCAACGCGCTTCCCCACCCCTTCGTCTTTTCACCCCGCAGCCCGTTATTGAGCCAGTCCCTCTCCCAGCCACGCCCCAGCGCTCTTCCTTCTCTTCTTTGGTGCAGCCCCTTCCCACAGTTATCCTGCAATTCCTGACCCTTACTTTACACCCTTCTCCCTTTATTTTTCTTGCAAGACTTTCCTCCCAATATCATTACTTAGTAATCATCACTCAACTTTCCTTCCTTTATTTGCTGTCCCTAATGGCCCTTAACACATCTCTTATCACACCCCCAGTTTCCTCCGCTGGGACAATTTTTCTACAGTTCCCTTCTCAGCAGTCTTGTGCCTTAAGCTGAAAAGAAATTGGGTATTATGCAGTTGAGTGTAATGCTCCAGTCCATTCTAGAATTTTCTAGAATTATCCATCACTACTTCCTTCTAGCAGCTTCTGGTTGTTTGCAGACACCACTGTGTGTTTGCCTCAGTACTTAATGCATCAAAACTTCCTTCCACTTCCGCACTTTGCTGCCACCCAATGCCCTCCGTCTGCTTTGCTACTAAAAAAGAGCACCCTTCCCTAGCTAGGCTTTGTTTTATCAGTTTCTTGTCATCCTCAGGCTATAAATTCCATGGCCCAATTGTAATGATAGTCAATGTATTTGTATATGTTGATACAAATGTACTTATTAGTAAAATGGAAGGACTGTTCAACTTGATGGACGATGCCCCAGCAGGGTCTGTTGGTTTATGAACTGTGTTTTATGGAACCAGAGCAATGCTTAATTCTAGAATGCATCCCTGGATCTTAAATGCACATGCAGAGGATAGGATTTCAGAGTTTCATTTTAATTATTCCCAAGCCAAGTATTTTTTAAAAAAGAGAAAATGACCCTGTATATTTTTAATTAAGTTATGAATTCACACAGCTACATACAAGACAATCTGATTTATCTATCAGAAAAGGAGATTGATTTTATTGATTCTTTGGAAACCTGAACAAGATTTTGAATGGATTCCATATTCAGTTTATCACATTGCTAACTTTTGGTCTTTTCCTAGGCTACCAATACTAAACCCAAGTACATACAGATTCACTAGTAGCTATAGGACATATTTTATACCCCCACCTACTCCTCCTTCCTAAATCAGGAAATATAGAAGAAAACATTCTTACAAGCATTTACCTTATCCATATTACATATACTATGAGGCCCACAGAACCATATTGTTTTTGTTGTTGTTGGGTTTTTTTGTTTGTTTGTTTTGTACCAGGGGTTGAATCCAGAGGAGCTTCCTTAACCACTAAGCCACAAACCCAACCCTTTTTTTATCCATTATTTAGAACCTGGGTCTCACTTAGTTGATTAGGGTCTTGCTATGTTGCTGAGGTTGACTGAATTTGTGATCCTCCTGCCTCAGTCTCCCAAGCCACTGGGAGTCACTGGGATTACAGGCATATACCACCACACCCAGGGAGGCCCACAGATTTTTATAACCTTTCTGAAATAACAGACTGTACTCTGAGTCATCAGATGATTCCAGATGTGCAGTGACAATACGTGTCACAACTCTAGGGTATACCTAGATTTACATTCTTCTGGGAGTTATTTAGGCTTATATTCTTCACAGTCACTTCTGCTTAAATTTTTACCTTAAACTCTACATGAAAGTCACCTTTTTAATGTTACATGGGTTTTTTACGTTTTATATGTTCAAGGTCTTAATCCAAAGCACCTTAATCCCACTTAACACAAAACATTGTGCCAAGCAACACATGGGTTGGGGGACAGGTTGCAGATTGGAGTCAAACCTATAGAGAAGGAGCTTTGTGGTTTTCTTTTTCCTTTTCCTTTCAGAGGTGCCTGAAAGAACTCTCTCCAGAACTTGCCTCTTGGTCTTTGTTCTAGCAAAACTTTTTCTGGAGTTTAACTCTTAAGATTATATTGATACACAGCCTTTTATTTAAGGTATTCAAGTATAAATTACAAGGATTTTCAGCAATATCACATTTCCTATTTCACATTGAATAAATAAGAAAATACAACATCAAGAAACATCTTAGGAAATTAATATTGGTGGGGAAAAAGAAGTGAGGTATTGAATGAGCCCTATGCTGAGTATGGAAACCAGCTGACTTATTTTGGCATTAAGGAAATGACCCCTTTCTGAGTCTCAGTTGGCTCATCTAAAACTGGTGAGATTTGACTAGAAAATCTTCTAGAACCATCCAATAGTAATACTCTGTGAGACCATGAGCTTAAAACGAGTCCTGCTGTTTCCTTAACTCTGGTATTATATATGATTCCTAATGCAGACTGCAAATTAAGAATAGTTTCACATGCAGTGGCTTCTTAAGAGTTTCAGTTTAGGGCTGGGATGTGGCTCAAGTGGTAGCGTGCTCACCTTGCATGCGTGCGGCCCGGGTTCGATCCTCAGCACCACATACAAACAAAGATGTTGTGTCCACTGAAAACTAAAAAAAATAAATATTAAAAAAAAAACAAGTATTACACATACTTAAAAAAAAGAGAGTTTCAGTTTATTCTCCACTTTGGGACATAGAAATACATGGAGGGCATATGTGGACAAGCGGTACTGTCTAAGATGTATGCCAAGGTAGGAAATTCTGCAAGACCGTTCATTGTTTAACATAGGTTGAGATTTTTTGTATATGGGTTAAGCAAATTGCAACTAGATGTTTTTTTTTTTGAATGAACTATAAACTTCTGTCTAGAAGCAAAAACAAGTTTTGCTTGGGGAATTTCTCCAAAACCTTACCAAGAATTTTAAAGAAAATTAAATTCCCAGATAGAATGTGTTTGTCACTTGGTTGTGGTCTGGGAAAATTGAGATGCCCAGCCCAAAGATCAGGCTTCCTTAGAGATGCACACTTCCTCATTCTAAGAGGGAAGATCTCACAAGAAAGATCAGAAGAGATTTGTAGCTCTCAGTGCTTCATTCAAACCTATCAATCAATCCAAAAACTAGTGGCCCAGAGAACACCATTATGGGTTGTGTCAAAGGGGTTAAGATATTTTGTGACACAATGCCTGCTATATAGTAGGTGCTTCATTAATGTTGAACCAAAATGAATGAATTAATGTCAGAAGTAATAATATCTTCATGACAGACTTTATATGTATCAATACTTCTCCAATATTTGTGGGTAATTGATAGAAATGGATATCTGAGGATTATAAAATGCTGCCTTTCCAATTTTAAGAAAGGCCAAGCATTTGATTCACTGAGTGCAAATAAAAGATTTAAGCAAAACAAAGCAAAAAACCCAAATTTCCCTATTAACAAATGAGCAAAGGACTTGAATAGACACACCTCTAGAAAAAGATACACAAATGGCCAGCAAGGGTATAAGAAGACACTCAACATCTCTTAATTATTATGGAAATGCAAATAAAATAATAAAGAATCCTCTTTATGCTACTGTTAATAAAATGGAAAGGAAGCCTTGGTGAGAGTGTGGAGAAAGTAGAACCCTGGGGCACTGTTGGTAAGAATGTAAAATTGAGCAACTACTCTGGAAAACAGTATGGCCACTCCTCAAAAGTAAACACAGAATTACCATATGATTCCCCAATTCCACTTCTGGGTATGTGCCCAAAAGAATTTAGAAACAGGGTCTCTAAAAATATTTATGCAATTATGTTCATAGCATTATTCACAATACCCACAATACCCACCAGCAGATGAATGGACTGGGTACTGAGGATTAAATTCAGGGGCATTTGGCTACTGAGCCACATCCCCAGCCCTATTTTGTATTTTATTTAGAGACAGGTCTCACCGAGTTGCGCCTTGCTTTTTTTTTTTTTTTTTTTTCCTCTGAGGCTGGCTTTGAAACTCATGTTCCTCCTGCCTCAGCCTCCTGAGCCA